TCTACACCATCATCCCACAGCCCCAATGTATCATCGCGGGTTCACCGCCCCACCCCACTAGCCTCCCACCACGCTACGCGGCTGCTGTCTGTCGACTATCCCCCTCCTCCCCCTCTCCCACTGCCCCACGGGTCCACACGCCCTCTGGAACGCCACTACGCTGCCCTACTGTCCACTATCCACCCTCCCCCTTCCCCACGGGTCCACACGCCCGTCCCGAGCGGGCGCGATGAGGCAACGGTCGGCGACCCCGGCGCCGCCGCCGCGCCGTCTGCACGCTGCTGCCCCGGTCACCCGAACTGCGATGACAGGCCGCAGTTGGGTAACACGTGACGCTGCAGCTGCCGATTATGACGGTGGAGAGCGCGTGCCTGGTGCCGAGCTGATAGGGGAAGGTGGAGCGGCACGCGGTGGTTGACCGCTGCGCCACCCGGACTGCCGTTACTGGGGTTGTTGATGCATTTGGATTGTCGGCAGGGATTCTACTGCGAGGATTAGGTACTTCAGTGAGCCGAATGTCCGTTTCCGATTTTGTGGAGCGGTCTGTTTAACTGATTAGAATGTTTGTAGATACGACCTTTATGCTTAAATCAAAGCGCATTGTGTGCTTTTTGATAACTATGCATCATAGAAGGCAGAGACAGCCATGACGAGTTCCATACCGCGCTGTCGTCACTGCCCAGTTCCGGCCACAGAGCGCGCACCCCGCATTCTGTCAGCCAGCCACTCCTGGAACCATGACCGGATCTGCGTGTTGCAATCACTGCCAAACAATCACCCTGAAACTGCAACACCCGGGAACTGCAAGGATGGGACTGCCTCGTCATACAAGACATCGCAGATGACGGATTAGGAGTCTTGTCCTCGGAGATTACCGTCGTTTCCGATTACTTCTGAGGGCTCTGAAAGGCTGAGAAGTGGCATCCGGTTCCGTTCTATACTCGGAGCGTGTCGTACACCTCTCCCCCGATCTCAGAGGGAGGGGAGAGAGGGAGGGAGGGAGGGTCGGAGGTCGCCGCGTGACCCTGTTGTCGGTCGACGGACCGGCGCAGCCAGCGGAGCGGCGCCACATCGGAACGCTCCGGTGCCCGGTGGCCATCTCGACCGCTGAAACGCGGAACACTGAACTGACTGACAGGACAGGGCTGAACTGACGGGACTGTGAACTGACGGGACTGTGAACTGACGGAACTGTGAACTGACGGGACTGTGAATCGACGGGACTGTGAACTGACGGGACTGTGAACTGACGGGACTGTGAATTGACGAGACTGTGAATTGAACAGAGTGTGAGCTGAGGACTGAACTGAGCGAAAGTGGACTGTTTATTTGTAGGCTTCATTCTATTGTTTCATATAAATATTCTTTGGGTAGTAACAAATGTCGATAAAATATAAATCGAATCGCGTCGAACTACGCAAAACACAACCCACTATAATGATTAACGGATGTACATACGTAAATTTGTAACCCGGTCCCTAGCCTCTGGCTGACCGCTGGATGCCTGTTCAAACACCTGTTTCGAGTGAATATAGGACAGTTACCTGGCCGTTCGGCTCAACAAAAACCCTCCGACGCAGCACAAGGTGTAAACTGGCTCCAACAAAAACATCAGCTGCATGCACCAGGACACCTCAACAATAGCCTGACAAGAACGGTACTTGCAGCAAGCCGATGCCTGGCTGACGAAGGAGCACATCTGCAGACCTGCCCGTCTGCGCTTCGTCAGTTGTGAAGCCGCGCACGGCAGTGACCAGTCCCGGACCGAGTCGTTATCTCTCCCCAGCCCCGGACAGAATCGTTATCTCTCCATCAATGTGGGCTGTTCCGGTTCAGGATCGCCCCTGTCCGGCCATCCGGACTGGTTGAGTGGTCGTTTGGGCGGCCGCCCGGCTGGCTGGTTTGTTTGGGACCATGCCAAGCTGACTGTGTGGCCGGATAGCCTGGGTCTGCGCCTGACCACGCCGCTGCACTGGCCTGTTAGACCGATTGGCGCACGGACCGACTCCGCTCGGCCGGCCGCGGAAGTGGCACGATCTCGGCGCGGCCGCACGGCCTCGGCTCGGGCCTTGGACACGCCCGTGCAGCCGTCCAGCGGGCTGTGATGTCGTCACCTAGTCGCCCAACTGCCGCACTAGGTCAACGAACTCCGCCGGCGCACACACAGCCGAAAACGGCATTTTTGTCGGCAACAGGTCACCGAACCTGTGTTGGAGTGTGAACAGGATAAGCAGCGCAGACGGAATGTCTTCCGCGAACTGCGTGCGTAGTTTGGCGTGCAAACGTCCACGGTACTTCCTGAAATCTTGCGATCTGCAGAGTGGCGACGCCGGTACGACACAAGCTCCCCGATAAGGCGACATAGCAGCGGTTGAACGGCGTTACTTCCTCAAACGGCCGTCGCTGCTGTCTGTCCGCCCAGCCACATAGCGGGTGACCCGGTTAGGGCGGCCGAGACGGAACCGGCCGGCTGGCCGCCCGGGGACTGCAGTGCACTCGGTATAGAACAGGGCGCTAGCACCAGCAGCTGTGGAGACTGCATGAGAACATAGGAAGATAACACCAAGTCGACTGTCTCCGAGCGTGGTCGAATCCGACCACGTGGCTGGAGCTCGTCCCTCGTCTCTGGGTAGCCCACATGCCGAACGGATACCGTTAGTCACCGCGGATGGCTAGCTTTTGAGGCTGCTGATTAGCACGAGTCAACAGATGCTCGATAAGACAAAAGGCGAATGACAATGCGCTTCGCTCCGGAGGAGGGTTTGACATACATTTGGGCGTGTAAACAGGCGTTTAGCGTGCAGGAAGCTGGTGCCCGCTCGATGGATGGGCTTCATTAAAACCGTCACGTTCCGTTTGTTGTTTGAGGTAGGTTCGAACTGTGCGTGAAGGCATGCGGTTGTTGGTGTGCCGGAAGACAGCCGCGCTTACCAGCGATCTAAACGAGCCGACGAATATACTTGGCAACTTTTTCTGACGATGAACTTTCAGCACTTGTTATGCATGTACGTGTATTTAATGCTAAGATATACCGATGATTCTCATTATTGAAAATAGGTTTTACTCGTAAAGCGGCTTCTAGACGCTACAACGCCTAAAGAAACTGTTGCGGAAGTGATGCAAGACACATTTGCAAACGCCCCTCTTGCACCCATTCGCCGTGCAAAACTAACGGCACACCACGTGTTGTGCGTCGATAAAGCATGCGGTCAAGCTCCTGCCCTGAGGCGGGCCGCCATCTGTCCGCCGCAGGGTCCCGCTCGGCCCCATGCCGTCCTGCGGCGGATCCGGCGCTCCTGCGGCGCCCGTGGCGCTCCTGCGGCAGGCAGTGGCGCGTCAGCTGTCCGTCAGGAGACCGCCGACAGCGAGTCGAACCGTGTTGCCGGCGGCCGTCTTTTCTGGGACAGCCAAACGGACCCGCTGACAGCAGCGTGCGCTGATGTCCGCTCTGCGAGTAGAGCTCCCAGGTGACGCAGACGGAGAGAATATCGGAGATAATGTGATGATGCCGCTGTTTAAATATGGTACCGCTGATAGTCCTTTTGGAGTTTAGGGAGCGCCTTTGAGCGGTTAAATTTAAAGGATAAGATGAATTGGGTGACAAATTTAATACAATCAATTTATTTGATCGACGAGTCGACGTGAGAATTGTCTTGTTCTCGAATTCGTCCTAAATATTTTAACTTAAGAACTCGATGAACCAATTGCGAAAAATGAACTTAAGTATACCTTTAACGACTTTATTAGCTTTCTTAGCCGATATGGTCATTAAGTCCTAATTCATAAATGTTCCATTGATTTAGATATGTAAGCTCATTGCATATTTTACCTGCAGGATTCAAGCTGTTTTACGATCTGCTTAAGATTATTGATATCGCCACGAAGTTTTCATTCTGCACTTTTCTTCACTAATTCAAAGTAATCCGGGTTATCCACGATCACCATGCCAGAAGGCGTCGGGTCATTGAAACGTGGCTTCGGGCTTACGAAGCTATCCGGAAGTGACGTTGGACATGATGAATTACTGTTTGCAAACATTTGGCATTTAGACCAAGCCTTCATCACGCTGCGGGCCATGCGCTGTTGGGTTAGACGGTGGACGACAGCTCATAGTTTGTTTGACAGGTGGGGAGTCACGTATTTAGGTCAGTAGAGAAGTCAGTAGCCCATAAACCTGTCTGAATACAAACACAATATTGAACGATGCTTCACGATGACAGCGAGAAAAACAGCATGGACGATTAATGACTCTTCAAGAATGTTTTGGGTTATAGTGGTTCTGTTCTTGAGCAGGCGGGCCAGCGGCATGCAGCATTAATTGCGACGCTAACGGGCTACATGGCTCATCGTAGTAACCTGATAGCTTGCTGGCCTTATTAGTCCATCAATCTTATCTCAGGACTTAAGTTTTTAATTGCACATACCTCGTTGTTTATAGACCCAGTTTTGATGAAAATGGATTGTTGTCTCGGATTTTTGTGTGGCATTGAGTGTTACGGAATACAAATAAGGGAGCCTTGCAAACAACTTTGAATTAAACAGTTGAATGATAAAACTACATCATAATAATTACGAGAGCAATCGCCTTCAGCTTGGCTAAGTATGTAGATCATTCTAAATGTAAGGGAAAAGGAGTATGGCTTCCGAGAAACCAGCAACTATTTTCATTGCTTGATCTCCTTCTTTTCTGTTTTCATGCTTATAAATGCAAGGAATGCCGGATGTGGATCATGTGTAGGCACATAACTGTTAACTGCAGTTTAATGTGGCACACCGCTCTGTGCAGATTCCTCCGTCGGTTTACGTCCAACATCCATGATCACAAAATCAGTTACTGTATAAAATTTGACATGCTTCACGCCCAGTTGGCTCACAGACCCCGCTATTTTCCCCAACGTACCACGCACGCACTCCGAAACAAACCACATCGGCCCACCTCACCCTCAACCACCTCCCATCCCATCCGGACCCCGTCTCTGGGTCAGCCGGCCGCGGCTCACCTGGGCTGAGGCTGTATCCGGCTGGTGTCGGGTCGTACACACACGGCCTGCCTGCCCACTGCACTGTCCGTCCGCGCACCTCGCGCCACGACACGCCCCGCTCGACGCCAGCCACCGGACTGACCGGCCGACGCGCCGCCAGCCAAATGAGACATTAACCCAATTTTGGCCGGTACAGCGCCCGACAGCGGCTCGTACAGTCTCTAGCAGCGGGAACGGAGCGTCGACAGCGGCGCGCGCGGAGCTCCAGACGGGTTTTTGAGTCGGGGTGATGCGGGTTGGGGGGAGGGAACGGCGCAGGTGCGTGGAGGGGTTAATGATAGGTCTCAATTAATCCGCGCAGCGCTGGTCCCAAAGTTATACATGCCGCATTTTTCCCTTTTTAAATCAGTAATGGCAAAAGCTTTTAATTCAGTAGTTATCCCTGCATCACTTTAAAAAACCTTCCTGAAAACGGACATTTTTTTTAACCCACGCCAGGCCGGTGCTCGGCGCCAACAGCGCCGGGCTGGGGGTGTCTGAGCGCCCACCCCCCGTATAACTCGGCTCCTGGGCCACGTAGCGACAAGCGGTAAGCGGCATTCGAAACAGCGTCAAAAATCAGAAGGAAGAAATACTTCGGTCAATTTTAGGTCAGGTCAAAGGTCGGGTCACCAGAGGTCATCAAAGGTAAAATTTTGCATATTTCATCACTTTTTCGACAAACCGGCGCATAACTTAGGAACCGATAGAGCTTCAGCGCCGCGGAAAAGCGCGTTCGATAGCCCCTTTTAACGTTCTTTCTGATGCATGTCTTCAGATTTGACATCATTTCAACAGTTTAGCCTCCAGAGAGCACAAACTCTCAGAATAGCCGTTTTTACGAAAAGTATTTTTCAGGAGTAACTCTCAACTTGAGAAAGGCACTACCTTTATTTTGCTAGCATCGTGTTCCTCTCGTCGAGACGCGTCGAAGGAACTATGATTTGAACTTATAGGTCAACTTGAAAATTTGACCCCAGGTCAAGATCATGACCTGACCGGAAAGGTCATGCTGCTTATCAGTCGATTCGTATCGTCGACCTCAACGCATCTTAGGTGCTTTCATCGCTTTAGCCAGTGGCGTATCCAGGATCTTGAAAAGGGGGAGGCCAAACCTGCTCAAGGGGCCCCACCCTTACCTTAGGGGCCCCAGAAGTGGCGTACTTAACCCACGCCCAGGTGCGGTTCTTTGCCACTTTCACCATGTGAGGTAGCCTTTTTAGGCACACTCGGCAATCTAAAAGGAAAAGAAAACGTGAAAAACCATCGATATCGATAGCTCTATGAAGTGTACAATTTATTTCACCAGTAGGCATACAGTTTTCTTTTTGCTTTGGTCGTTGCCGAATGCCGGGGCCACTAAAGATTATCCAAAGCAAAATGTTTTGTCATTTTTTACGATTGTAACATTTTTCAAAGGGCAGATGTCAATCTCTTAGTGTCTTGCGCTGGTTGAGGGCTGATACCCTAATTAACTTTAGAAGGGCCCGACTCGGGTTGAGCTCTGATCTATGTAGACTCTGATGGCTCTATGTCGCCCACATTTGCCTCACTCCGACCTCTGAAGGCTCATTCTGGCCTCTGAAAGCCCCACACCGGCAACAGAGTGAACCACGCTGGCCTCCGGGCCCCATGATGGCTTCAGGAGACCCATGCTATGGCTGACCCCATAGCCCCCCCCCCCCCGCTGGCTCTTGGGACTTGGGAGTCTTTGAGTCAGTCTGACGACCCTATGCCGCTTTCGAACCCACGCCGGTCTCTAGAAGCCCATGATGCCCCCTGAGGGTCCCACGCTGGCCTTTAAGGGCCACTCCTACCTCAGGGGGCCCAAACATGCATAATATCTGAAAAGCGGTCGTCGAGGCCCTCGAGGTGGCCTCTAATGGCCCGACGCCAGCCTATGAAGGCCCGCGCTGGCTTGAGGGCCCAGCGCCAGTCTCTGAAGTCTGAAGTCAGATGACAGATGGCCCCACGCTGGCCTCAGAGGGTTCACGCTGGTCACCGAGTGCCCCACACTGGCCTAAAAGGGCTCCACATTGTCTTCAGAGGGCCCCAAGCTAGTCGCGGTGGCCAATGGGCCTCAATCTGACCTAAGAAGGCCCCATGTCGCTGGGCTTAAAAGACCCCACGCTGGACATAGACGCATGCTGGACATAGAGGGTCCCACACTGGCCTTAGAAGGCCCCACACTGGCCTTAGAAGACCCCACAATGGCCTTAGAGGGCCCATGCTGGCCTTAGAGGGCTGAGCGCTGGCTCCTTAGGGCTCTACACCAGCGTCAAAGGATCCCACGCTCGAGTCTAAGTTTCTTTATGGCCGCCAAAGCGACCTCTGAGGGCCCACGCTAGCCTCTGGGGGCTCGGCCTTGGTCTCTGAGGGCATATGAGGGCCATCAAATGACATTTTAAGATAGTTTGACGCAGTTTGACTTTATTTATGCTTGGGCCAGTACTTTGGATGAGGCCCTGAAGGTCGTTTCTCTTGTGACACTCAAGCAGGCACGTACCCAGGATTTCGCCCAGGAGGGGGCCGCCTGCTCTCAAAGGCGCCCACGGGTCACCTGGATGCCGCTGTCAACCCAGGCAGGGGCGTATCCAGAACCTTTCGATGAGGGGATTGGGCACAGTGGGTCCGGTCCCCCTTGCAGACGGGTCCCTCTGTCCGTCTGTCTGTCTGTCCGTCTGTGTTAGTCCTTCAGAGGTGTCGGTGAAAGGCCATCAGATGCGCTGGTGTGGGGTCCTCACAGGCGCCGTTGTGAGGGCCTTAGGGCTTAGAGACACTGGTGGGGGCCATCACTTAGGCGTGTGTGGGGCCCTAAAAGTTACTGGTGGCCCTTCATAGGCCGGCAAGGGACCCTCAGAGGTCGGTAAGAGGCCCCCAGAGTCGCTGGTAAGTGACCGTCAGATGCGCTGCATAGGACCCTCGGAGGCCCCGATGTGGGGGCTCTCAGAACCGCCGAAGTAGGCCCTTAAGAGGCACTGATGTGGGGCCCTTAGAGGTGGCAGTGGAGGCCCTCGCAAGCGCCGTTGTCAGGGCCCTCAGAAACACCGGTGTGGGCCGTGGGGCCATAGCAAACGGGTATTTGGCCCTTACAGCTGATCCCTTATTGGCCGGCAAGAGCCCTCAGGGCCGGCAAGGTCCCTCAAAACCTGGCGTGAGGCCCTTCTGGAGATAAGTGTGGCTACACAAGAACCCATGGGGTGTTCTCACAAGCCCTGTGGTCTCCTTTTCAGTTGAAGCGTTGCCAGCGCGGGCCCTCTACCGCCAATGGCACCGCAGGGCCTCTCGGGCCCGAGGGGACCCTAAACCCTATAACGGACACGTGCCCCCTCGCCCCTGGCCATACCATTGAATCCCAGTGATCACGGGCCGTTCAGGTAATCAGGGGTCTCTCAGGTGACCAGGGGCCTTTCAATTGACCAGGGCCTTTCAATTGACCAAGGGACCCTCTGAGAAACAAGGGACGGTTATACCAGGGGCTCCACGGGTAACTAAGGGCCTTAATGTGACTGCAGGGGCCCTTCATATAACCAGGTACTCCCCGGGTAAACATGGGCCCTTCAGGTGACCAGGGTTTCTTCAGATCGCTGGCCAGGGGTCACCCAGGGGATCAGGGGCCCCTCAGGTAGCTAGGGGCCCTTTAGATAACTACGGCCCTCTCAGGTAGCCAGGGGCCCCTCAGATAACCAGGGACCCCTCATATACCAAGAGGCCCCACTGGTAGCCAGGGACCTCTCAGAAAATCAGGGTCTCTCAGGCAATCACGGGCCCCTTAGGTAATCAGCGGCCCCTCAGGTAAGCAGGGGCCCCTCAGGTAACTATGGGCCCCTCAGATAACCAGGGCCCCTCAGGTAACCAGGGCCCCCGTAGCCAGGGGCCCGTCAGGTAACCAGGAGTCCTTCAGATAACTAGGGACCAATCAGGTAACCAGGGCCCCCTCAGATAACCAGGGGCCCTTAGACAACCATGGGCCCCTCAGATAACCAGGGGTCACTCAGGTAACCAGGGGCCCCTCAGGTGACCAGGGGGACCCTCAGGCAACCAGGGCGCCCCTCAGGGCCCCTATGGTCCCCTTGGGTACGTTACTGCAATTAAGTGACCCAAAGGGCCCACTTGCATGTTTGATGCCAAAGGGGGAGGCCATGGCCTCTTGGCCTCCCCCCTGGATACGCCACTGGCTTTAGCATGTCTCTGTCAAAAATTATTACCAAAAAACTAATGGGGACCTTTCGTTACCTGATATGACCTCAGGGACATGAGAAGGGGTCACGGGTACGATTTTTCGATTCAGTGTGTCAGTTTCACCTGTAACACGATGTTTTGAGGATGTTTAGAACGACGTTCGTCCAAAACCGGCGCCTTTTTAATTTTCTCCCATTGACTTTTAGGCACTGGAGAGGGCACAAAACCTGAACTTTGGTCATGGATGTCTAAATTCCTAGGTATACATTTTAAAGATACTGTTACCCACTCTTTATCAATCGCTGAAGGTCTCAAGGCGATCGTTTAATAGATGTATGTAGATATGACGAGCATTTTAAGTTTTTTTTTTCCTAGGGTGAGGCCACATGACGTGCGTGTCACTTGACGTGTTCTGGTGACCTGGCCTTGAGGGACCGGGGCCTGAAATTTTCACAAAATGTGCGGAGAAGATGCATGAAAACGTTGAGCTTAAAACGGCGGAGCTACGCACGGCGGTTAAAAAAAATAATGAAAAAGCCGAAGGGGGTTGTTCAAACACCCTTCCCCGGCCCGGCGCGGCTTGCATAGATTGTATGTTAAGAACATTGCATTTGCAGTCCCGTGGCCTTGTTATGCATCGAGATGGAGGGGGGATTTTTTACTACGTTTTTCATGCAAGCGTGACATAAGTGTCCGTGATCTGACCGAAAAGGTCATGACCTGACCGGAAAGATGTTGGACATAAGTCGATCCATGTATTATCACAAGTTGATATTTACATATAAGACATATAGGTATGTATGTTTATAAGACAGTTCAGTTAGCAATAGCCGTTTTCACGACGGGCTATCCGGCGAATGTACCTAATTTGACCAAATCTGCACCTAATCTCTTTTACAGCAAATATCTTCATTTTATGAATTTATTTCAGTGTT